TAAACCGCTAATTAACTGCCAACTCAACAGGTTAACAAACATAAGGATTCTCCTCCGACCCTGCTTCACTAAGATATAGTTTTTATGGCATGATGTCCTAACACGATAGAAATTGATTTTTATCAATTTATGACCTTGAATTGTTGGAATTCTATATTTTTTTTGTATTTTCTGACACCGTTGATGCGTCGCTGTAAACAGCCCTGCAGCAGAGTCCTGTTTACGAGCCTTCAGAAACCCACAGTCCAATCTTAAAACCATAACTCACATTCGGTTGCGGTGCGACTTTCACCATCAGACTTCACTTTCTCTGTGGTTTCTGTCGACTTCAGTCTAGACTGAAATTCAAGTAGATTTCCATCGAGGCTCCGTGGATCGACTCTACTAATCATTCCTGGACCGACCTACACGGTGACATCATTCCATGTCGCGTTCTTGTAGCGATTCCATGTAACCTTCGAGTTCTAAGGACATTTTTGATCAGCCCAGCCTCAGCGTCTCACACGAAGCCTCAGACGTTTTGTGGCTAAGATAACAAATGACCTACTCCTGCCGTGAGATAAGGACAAGAACTCCATTCTCCTGTAGATAAACTGGATCTTTGACCTCTGACCCCGGAGATCCCTCCATCCTGTTACACCATCTGGAAACCTGCGTTGGCCTCGTCTTCATCATCACGCTGCTGTCTGTCAAACGGTTGAAAAACTGCCGTTCTTTAAACTGAGGTTTCAAACTGCAGACAGACGGAGTCAAAGACGCTGCTATTTCTATACGCCACCTGTAGGGGCAGCACTAACTGCGGTGCATTATGATTATGTCCTTGCTTAACCCACAAAACCGTGCACTAACAAACCTAATGTTTACACAAACAGGTTAGCGTGCGCGCACACACACACACACACACGCGCGCAGGGCACTGCTGTTTTTGTCATTAGGAACGAAGCCTGAGGCGAAGTGAGTTACTGAAATCGAGACGCTGTTTTTGTTCTGGTCGGGATCTAGAGATATAGTTAGTTACTGTGTGTGTGTGTGTGTGTGTGTGTGTGTGTTATGACCAATAGCTCTGTAGGCCATTCACCCAGGTTTAATTCTTCTTCCCAAACTGCCCTCCACTTCCATGAAATCATACCCTACGTGACACACTCTACATGTGTGTGTGTGTGTGTTGGCGCCCCCTACACTGAGGCCAACCTCAGGCTATCCTCACTTTATATATTTTTTTTTTTTTCTGCAAGAAATCTAACCAATGAGTAAGCAGTCACACAGAGGCGCTGCTTTTTTTTTTTTTTTTCCACATGGCCAAACCACAATCGGACAACCTCAGCCCTCAGCCTGTAGGGGGAACCGCACACACTATCAAAACATACTGTATATCTCCATAGTGTCACAACATGACAATATAAGAAACTAAAATAAACAAAAATGAAAACACACTTGAACCTTGACCTTAAAGAAAAAAATGCCACGACTTTTTTTTCCAGAAGAAAATCTGATAAATACACAACAAACTCTTAACTGTCGTCCTGTTTGTGTGTGTGTTCACTGTCGTCGACGACATTTTTTTGGACCATTATCTTGTGAAAGACTTTTTTTCATGAGTAAATGGCCCATAATTCACTTGTCCTTTTTACAAATTGAACAAAGGCTTGGAGTCTTTGTTACTTCATTGGCTTCAGTCAATAGGAAGCACAGTATTCAAACACCATTTATTTATGGTCATTTCCTGCTGCTAACACACACACACACAAACACACACACACACAAACCAGGGACCTCAACAACAACAGCCGCGTTGGTTGCTCTGATGAATGTCGTGATGCCTTCAGTGATCACAGTAACAGAAACGACAGTATTAACAATACCGTTGTCATCAAACAGCGCTCCAAAGGTCACAGTCACACGGAGGTTACACCGCGACGACACCCGCAGAGACGTGACGACATCACGCAAACATGCACGACAGTAGAAAAAAACAAGCGATCCACGGCAGTTTAAGGTGGATGAGGTGACAACGGACCGTTACCGCACCCACGCGCTGGTACGGGCTAACGCCCCCGAGCTGCAACGGCGCTGAAACACCAGACCAGGTCTGAAACTCTATAGGAGGTATGATAACCCATGACATCATGCAGAATGAATAGTCTAAAAATACTCCGTTTACACAACTAATATTAGTAAATACATGCCAGCGGAGGAGTTCCCCAGGTTAGATTTCAGGAAATCACTCGAAACTGACGACAATCAAAACACAGACTGTGTTAAGGTTACGACACAATGTCTCTATTCAACCATGAACTCACGCAAACATTAACACATTTGACACGTTTTGATGCTAATTATAACATTTCCGAGACCCACGTACTATTTCAGAGACTTGAAAGGGAAAGGGAACCACAGTGGTTCTGAAGCAATTTCAATTCTCAATTCCCAACCACAGCTGGAAAAAAAAACAAAAACATTTTATTTTACTTTATTTCTATGACTTGATCATCATCAAAAAAAACATATTATTTTACTTTATTTCTAAATGTCAGGACGTTTTTTTTTTGGTGATTTTAGCTCAAGATCTCTGTATGGTTTAAGGAGTTTGTGATCATTTTCCAAACAAAGCAGACCATTTGTCTTGAAGGAAACAGTGTGTGATTATTACGCTGTCATTAGACAACAAGCTCTGCTGGCAAACTGCACATTTATTTAAATGCTGTTAAAATTACAGAAAAATCAACAGCACATTCTGTTGAAGAATGAATTTATTCCAACTCAAACTGGTAGATATCACAAATGAGAATTTTCATTTCCTGTAAAATTCTCCACTTCTATGGGAATAAAGCAGCTCTGACTCCACCTCCAGGCCACGGCTGCCTACGCCCTTCAACACAGCAGATGTTTGTTTGTGTATATTTTAAATTCTGTTTCCATACTCGGGAATTCCTATTTTTGCCGTTCAACTCGGTCAAAACACAAAGGTTAGACCTAACGACCAGGCACGGCAACAAATTGCCAAAGTCCAATAGTCTGACGTTGAAATAATGCCAAATCACCGGGGTCAGCATGTTTTATGTTTGGATTAACCTAATGAGTTTACTCTAAATGTCAACTCCTAACAGTAGGTGTGTGTATGTGTGTGTGTTTGCATGGGGTTCCTTCACGTTAACTCCTGCCTGTACATTCAGAGCTCTTCACAAAGCGGGTTTTGTTGGGAAACAAAGCCGTGGGCCTCCCTGCCTGTTAGAAATTAATCACCGAGAGCCATGAATTCTCCTTCACCTCCATCACCTCCTCCTCCTCCTCCTCACTCTCTGACACCCTCTTTCTCTCTCAGAACACTTGGGTTCCCAGGAAGAAGTGACACTGTGATTAAGACAAGTCTTGATGTGTGGAGCTTGTTGAACAGAGTGGGTGAGAACAAGACATGGACAGACTCACACTCCAGATAAGTGTGAGTCCGTGCATGTAGGAAGCGAAGGTATTTACAGCCAGGCTCTAATACAACGACAGCATATCAACAAATCATCATCACAGCAACATTCCTCCCTCCTGCATTAGGCCGCCCACGGCCTTATTATTTTAAGGAAGGAATTCATCACAGGAAAAAAAAACCCTCCTACACATAAAATGCACTTCAAAACACCAGTGTGTAAAATACACATCACTTCAAGTCAAAACACCAGTGTGTAAAATACACATAAAACAGCCTAAAAATAGTCAGAGGAAATACAGCCAACCATCTGTAGTTTGTTCAGATATCGCTGCCTTATTTCTGGAAAAACTGTCTCTACATGATTTTGAAAAGTGTCATATCAAATAAGTCCTTTGAATATTAAAGTTAGTGTTTGCTATTTTTTTAAATTATTTTAATTGCTTGTGATGTCCAATGTACTGGTGGATCGTGATCTACTTTTTGGGACGACCCCTGAGTTTGACCACACCATTCTTTGTTTAACATGATACTGAACGGAGAAAGTCGACTGAAAGTGTATCTCAATCAAATAATCTGGAGTAGACATGCAGTAAATAACTGCTACTGTTATCAACTTTTACCAACATGATCTGAATGACAGGTCTGGTCAACCAACATGATCTGAATGACAGGTCTGGTTGATCACAGCATGTTATTTCTGTTGCTTATTTACAATGAAACCATGGAAGTACAGATTTAATTATGTCATTTGAATAATTTCAAATGTTTCTGAGCTCCAAACCCACCACGTCCACAGCATTTAGAAATGATTATTTTTGTTAGCCAGACTAGCGTTGTTAGCAGTATCCTGTCAGGAACTCAAAAAACACTGACGTTTTACCCAAATAACCATAATAGCCAATTAGTTAACCGTCAAGTAGTTAACTGATGGCAGTGAATGTGGAAATCAGCAGCAGGATATTTAAAGCTGAACCAGGACGTAGTTCCATGTCCTACATTAGTCAGCGGCTGCTTGGATGACATGAATGTTCTCAGGCTTTTTCACTACTGCTCCACTTATGGAGTTTTACTTTGAATTTGGTTTATGGTAGTTAGTTTCCAAGTTTGCCAACATTGATCCAATAATAACAGAACTAAGAACATGCAACACTAAGATATTTTCAGTAAAGTGTTTGTGCTATTATGAAGTACATTCTTTAAACCTTGAAAACGATAAAAAATACTAATAAGACTCACCCGTCTCTTCATCAATCGCAAATCTTCCGAGTCCACTCCCATCACGGATGGAGTACTGGATTTCACCGTCTCTCCCGCTGTCGTCATCGTTCGCAGTAACCTGAAGAAGGGTAGTTCCAATACGGGCGTTCTCTTTAACCAATCCTGACAGGGCAAAGTGGGAGAAGTACGGGGTGTAGAGGTTTTCGTTCACATCCACCACTTCCACCTCCACAAAAGTGACGGAGAGCAGAGAAACCGGTCTTCCCTTGTCTTTGGCCTTCACAGTGAGATTGTAGAACTGTTGGGTCTCGTAGTCGAGCTCCTTGGTCAGTCGGATGGCCCCGCTGGCTTTGTCCACTTCAAACCAACCATTGTAATCATTTGCAAGAGAGTATCGCACCTGGCCTCCCAACCCCAAATCTGGATCCAAGGTCTCTAACCAAGCCACAACGGTTCCCACTGGCAGATCCTCCAGGGCCTTGGCCTTGTACACGCTGGGGATGAAGAGGGGGGGGCAGTCGTTTACATCTTCCAATATGATTTTTAGTGTTGTGGTGGAAAACTTTTGGCTTCCTCTGTCGGCTTTGTCTCGAGCCTCGATCTTCAAGTTAAAAGTAGACACGAACTCTCTGTCTAACTGACCAGCAACGTACACTATGCCGTTAGTGGAGTTGATGCTAAATTGGGTCGTGCTGGTCAGTATAGAATACGTAACATCCCCATTGGCTCCGAGGTCTTTGTCGGTGGCTTCAACCTGTATGACGTCTGTACCGATGGCTGTGTTTTCAGGTAGGAGAATTTTATAGCCTCCCTCCTGCAGAAACTGGGGAGCGTTATCGTTAGCATCCTCTATGTAGACTGTAAGCAAACGCCAGGCGGTTTTCTGTGGCAGGCCAAGGTCAAAGATCGTCAGGTTGAGGAGATAACGATCTCTCTTTTCTCTATCCATGGGCAAAAAGACACTAACGAGGCCGGTTTCCATGTTAATGGTGAAACAGCTGTCAATGTTTCCATCTGAAATCGCATACAGAATGTGACCGTTGAATCCTGTGTCTCCGTCAAACGCGTTTACCTGAAACACGCTGGAGCCGACCTGGAGGTCTTCCCTCACTGAAATGTCTGTCGGAAACGCTTTATCAAACTGGGGCGTTTGTCTATTAACAGAGAAAAGATCGATAAAACCTTCCTCGATTTTGGGCTTGGTGCTAGCTTTGGACTTTTTGAGCAACTTCTCAGCTAATTTTTGGGCTACCTTTGTCTCTTTACAGGTGAATCCTTTGGGAGGAGATTTTCCGTGAACGATGGAGATGTTGACAAACATAGGGTCAGAAAAGTTCTCACCGTCGGTGGCAGTTATTTTTAGACTGAACACATTGTTCTTTGGATTGGCTGTGGCGAGGGAATGTTGTAGTGCAAGGACCCCTGAGTCCGGGTTCAGGTCAAAGTATCCCAATTCGTTCCCTGAAATGATTTTGTATTTTACAAGCTCCAGCTCATCTACGTCGATCGCTGACATTGTGGTGATCACTTCATCGACTGGGAAGTCCCGTGAGATCACACCTTGGCACGCGACGTTTTCAAACAATGGCTGGTTATCGTTTACATTCTCCAAGTGGATTGTTACATTAACTTCACTCTCTCGTCTGTAAGGTGATCCCCAGTCAGACGCTCTGACGACGAACACAAAGCTCTCTGGTGACGACTCAAAGTCCAGCTCTTTCGTGGTGCTGATAACTCCTGAAAACTGATTAATTCTAAAAGGTAACAGATGAAGGCTGGAAATGCTGTAGGTTATGTAGCCGTTTTCTCCCAAATCCTCGTCCACAGCTGACACTGTTAACACACTGGTCCCGACGGGCACACTCTCATTCACAAAAATCTCATAGGAGGACTGTGCGAATGTGGGTGTGTTATCGTTGGCATCCTCAATTGTCACCCGAACTTTGACTCTGAGCTCGCTGTCTGATTCCATGACTTCCAGATTGAAGACATTCTGGGTCACTTGAGTGAACCACCTCTTGGTGGAGACGACACCTGTTAAGGTGTTCATTTGAAAGAAAGCTGAATCGGCAGAAGGTGTCAGGATGTACTCTGCATCATCGGGCTCTGGTTTGATTTTAACAGCCTCTACAACTGTGCCTGGGGGTGATATTTCATTCAGGCTAACCTCGTACACCTCCTGCTCAAATTTAACTTCCTCTGTGTGCGGTCTCTTGACAATAATGTGGACAAGTCTGACAGTAGAGAACTTCTGTGGCGCTCCCTTGTCTTTAGCCTGTAAAGTCAGGTTACAACCGTAGGGATATAAGTCCCAGTTCAATGACTCTGAGGCTTTTATGGCAAACTCCTCTTCCTCAGACATTTCTATGAAAAACTGCTCCAAAGGGTCTCCACCCACGATGTCCACCGAGTCTATTTCCCCATTAATGCCCTCGTCGAGGTCGGTAACGGTGACCACAGCATAGACAGGGTTTTTATCAAGCCACGATGGGCTCAGAGTGACAACATTCATCACTGGGGCGTGCTCATTCACGCGCTCTACATGAACAAAAAGCTTGGCTGTGCTGCTGACCCCATTATTTCCGTAGAGCTTCATGCCACGGTCCACTGCCAGGATTTCCAAGTCATAGCGACTCTGCTCATCCACGTTTAGCTTCCCGCTCAGTGAAACTACTCCACTGGTGGGGTGCACTGCAAACAGCTCCATTTTCTCCTTAAAAAAGTAGTAAAACTCCCCGTTGGAGCCAATGTCTGCATCCGTGGCAGTTACTTGTGCTATACTAGTCCTGAGAGGTGTGCTCTCCGCTATGGTCACGGAGTAAGTGGTCGGTGAGAACAACGGACGGAGGTCATTCATATCCAGAACCTGGATGCTGACTTTAGTCCAGGTCTCTAGGAAAGCCTCTCCTTTGACAGAGGCTTTAACAGTCAACACGTAATTATCCTGGATCTCTCGATTCAAGATAGCTGCGTTGCCGCCTTTAGTCCTTATCCGCAAGAAGCAGAAATCCCCCAGCACAAACTCCTCCGCCTTGAACAGCCCTTCGTCGTCACCTGAGGTGATCCGGTAGCGGACGTCCCACGAGCGCTGGGCCAGGTGGATGCCCATTTTAATTTTACTGTTGGCATAGGTGCGTGCTGCTGAGTTCTCATAAACTGTGGCACGGTAGACAGCCTGAGTGAAGCCAAAATGGGGTCCATCCTGAGGCCCCCCCTGTGTGCTCTGGCTGCAGCAGAGTGGTGACGTAAGGAGCAGCAAAGGCAGCAGCAGGGCCAGGCTGTAGAAAGGGGCTCGCATGCCTGCCCACTGGCCCATATTCACATCCATCCCATCATCACTTTATTCTGAAACGAAAAGAGAAAAAAAGAAAAAAAAAGGTAAGTGGTGAATGAAGGATTCGCAGCAAGTGTTAGAAACGTAGAAGCAGAACTATCTAGAACTTTGCGGAGCTAACAGGCGGCTAATTATCCATTGATCTGGGTGAGGAAAGAGGAGTTATCCAAAGTTATCAGGCAGCCAAAATGGGGGATGACATCATCTCTGTGTGGTCGTTGGACACTCTAAGTCAATTGCTAGTTTTTGAAAAACCAGAGGTGGTTTGAGAAGGAACAAAATAATTGTACGGCTAGGAAAGAGCCTGCATCGACACTAAAACAAACACGCAAAAAATGCAGAGAACAAAATGATGGGCTGTGATACGATGACCCGTTCATAACCCTTTTTCCTGAAATACCCGACAAACACAGCAGTATCCCTTTCAAAACCATGTAGTATCTTCAGTTAAACAAAAACACGTATAAAACTCTGAGGCGTGCAGTCGTTGTGTTCCTTTTTTCTTTCTTTTTTGGTTGGAAAAGAAAGAAAAAGTGTTCTGAAACCAAGCGACCACAGGTATGTGCCAGTGTAGGGATGAAGCCTGATCCGGTAAAAGCCGTGTTGTGGCCGTAGCTGTGCCACAGTGGTCTGCATTTTGATGACTGAGCACTTTCCACCGAAAGGGACGGAGAGATGGGCAGGAAAAAAAAAAAAAAGCCCATGTCCGAGTGCACTGATAATAACAGCCTGCTCCGATGAATACATACTGCTAACCACACACATACAAACACACACCAGTAATTCAAGTCAAACCTTGACATTTGAGTAGAATAAAAAAAAAGAAAAAACAACTCTCGGCTTTTTAACCATGACTAAATCCCACCTCAGCTGAAACAATGCTCTACGTCTGCATTTAGACTTCAATTACGGGCAGTTCAGGAAAGAAAGGCCACAATCGCCTGAGCAGAAAAAACAAAACAACCACCTGGTTTTGTCCGACCTTCCGTCAGCTCTGGGTCAACTCCATCCAGGCTGGACATTAAAGGTGGACAATAGAGACGCGTACTCAAGGATTTTCCTGCTGGCGGTGTCTGAGTCAGCTTTTAACGGGTCAGCACGGCTTACAGAACCAACAGTGGAACAAAGGAGCACCAACTTTGGAACAGTGCTCTGACTGTGTTGAATACAGGCTCGGATTTCACTTTAAACACTCGGGTGTAAACTTCAGACTAAACTAAAGGCTATTGACACTCCTCACTATGTGGCCGATGGGTAGTACTTGAACGGTCTAGTATCCATTTGTTTGATTTACCTCCTTGGCTACTGACACCGTATATTTACACTGCTAAATACATACAGGAGATATCCAAGGACTATAAGAGCCAGGCCAAAAAAACAACGTGCTCGTGGTGTGAAAACCAATCGTCTGAACTGTAACATTTTATGTTTTTTTTTTGGTTTTTTTTTTTTTGGATAAATATAATTTGAGCCTCACATCACAGTTTCGGACTAACGTGATCAGATTCCACGGGGTTGCTGGTTTAATACCAGGGACACAGTTGAACAATACACCGATGTTATTCCAGAAATTTAACAAGAGGGAGGAGGAATGCTGTGACATATAGCTGCAGATTTTAACGTGAGAAAATGTAGACACTGCCAGAGAATGTATAAAAACTAAAGTCTTACCGAGGTCACTGAACAAGGAGCTTTTGTGTACTTTATATTTGTACGGTTTCTATAAAACACTCTAAAAATGACATTAACAAATCAAGCTGAATTGGCTGCTTAGAAAACCTGTGTTAATGTGATGTAATACTTCAGTATCATAAGTACGGAGATCAAAATACTAAAATGCACCGAATCCCAGTTTAGGAAAACACACTACATTTTCAACCCATCAGGGGGCAGATGAGCCCCCCCCCCTCACCCCCGTCCAATCACACAGTGAGCTCTCTTTTAAAGTGACACTCAACCCTTATCTGCTCGGAACACGACCGACAACTGAGTCAAAGTTCCATTACTTCCTAATAGTGTTTACTGTGATGTGTATGCTGGGAGAAACGGCAGATGAGCGGAAAACGCCTATTAGGCCGCGGCGGCGCCGCCGCTCCAACTGTAGAGCTTCAAGTCACTCGGCTGTTATTCTCACTCGTTACAATCCCACAATACCCCAGGGGCAGCCAGATTTGGGAGGACTATAAACAGACATCTGGGTAAAGTGTTCACTGACACACGCACACACACACACACACACACACACGCTCTCTCGCGGTTCATCCCATATCTGGAGCCATTCCCTGAGGGCTGCTCGGAGGGCAGTGTGCAGCGGGTTGACGAAGAGCACATGTATCTGATGCTGCGCCGCTCCCTCATTCAGATAAATCTGCTGAGATCAGTGACAACAATCTCTGCAAAGAGACCGTCTGCCACAGACGGGGACCGGCGGTGCAGGTTGGTGCCGCAATTGTCGCAATTTGTGCCTACGCCCGTGTTTTCTCTGAAGCGCGGCTGTAAACACGTTTCTCCATTTAAAATATGTGCATGTGCGTGTGTGTGTCTGTGTGTGTGTGTTTTATGATCTTGTTCTAGCCATAAGTAACGCAGACTTTAAAACATGGAACTAAACAGTCACATCAATCACGACGAACACAATCCACTTTTCTCCAAGTGCATGATATGAAAGTCACTGGAATATCACTTTAGAACAGAGTGCATTTTTACAGTCACAGTCATTTATAACCATTTAAACAAGGATACAGCTGACACCAATGAGTACATGAATGAGAGACTGGTACTCACATCAAAGACATATAAAACATCTGCCGGTTAAACACACAACTGTGTTTTTTCTTTGTCTTGGACGTTATAATATTAAACACAGTCAAGTCATAAAGCAGGGACAACAAGACGGGTTTTCAACTGTTTGATGTTGTTTCTTCAGCATTAACGGAGAATTGTTTTGACAAACAAAAATCGTCTCTGCTCTGTCGTCTGACACGCTACGACAAACTAAACAAACACATGAATCAGTTCTTTTAACGCCGAGTCTGAGGTTTCACGATGGCGGCTGCTCTACAGTTAGCCTTACTGCTACCTACAAATAGCGACGGTGAAGCTTTCCTGGCTCGTTGTAAAGTAGTACCGAGCTAATGACCCATTAGTTCCAGTGTCCACCCCGGTTCTCCAACACCGAACTCAATACACTTAATGACCAGCTGCCTAATCACATGTGACTGGTCAGTCAAGGTAAACCCAAAAACCGGTCAATTCCGATCATTCAGTCGATCGATGCGTCTCGATTCACGGCTAACCGTTGGGTCAGAACCTAATCAAAACGGTAGAACCTCAAAAGGAATCAAAACGTCACCTTTTCCTGTTGTAGGACCTCCATTCTAATGTCTTTCTGCTGAAACATAACTCACAGTGATACTAAAAGGGTTTTGTCACCTTTTCCTGTTGTAGGACCTCCAAACCTCCGACAGCCGATCCGATCATGGATGTACCCTGCCCTGCCCCCATGTAAAAATGTGGTATTTACCTACCCTAGCAAACTTTGGTCTAAAGATTAAAACCCAAAAAATCCAACATACGGAGAATTAATTACAACTGCATCACAGAGAGAATCATTAAAGAAGAAGAAGAAGACGATCTGGGAAAACCACAGCAGCGTAAGTGACGCGAGAATCGTAGCGAGCGGTTGACGCTTGAGTGGAAAATATTGTAGGAATTGCACAAACACTCTGCAAATTACATTCATTACAAATTATCGGCTTCTCTGCTTTTGAGCACATAATTGTCACGTTGTTGGGGAAACCTCCAAAGACTGCGTCTGCCGCCTTTTTCTTCATCTCTCTCTCTCTCTCGCTCTATTTCAGACAGAGATAAAGACAAAGATGAAGAGACTGCGTCGCGACACACACACACACACACGAAATCATGCACCACAGAGAAGTCCCACTTACTGTCAGCTCTAAACTGCCTCTCATTAGCTTTTCATTAAAGGCTAATTGGCCTTGAATTGCATGGCAAAAAGCATCCAGCAGCTCTTCACGCCCCTGACACACACACACACACACACACACCATCTCTGACACTGGCTTTATGCTCAGTATGCATTGAAAGAGGCATCACACTGCAGTCAGAAACACATGAACTGACGGAGGATTCCTGCACGTGGTGCGAAGCTGTCAGAACAAGAACGTAAAGCAGGAGGCGAGAATAATTCTGCTGCTCCGTAAAGCGTGACTCACCCGACGACGGCCTTCCTGTGGAGGCTGAACTCGGCTGAGGTCTTTGTACAAAAACCGTCCAACGGAGAAGGAACAGAATTCCTTTTTCATCGACTGACCCAGAAAATGTTAAAATTAGAATAAAACTAGAATTTTTAGGTTTTGTTTCAGGGACGTGAAGAGGAACGTTGGACTGTTGTGGATCAAAAGTAAAAATATCTGGACACATTTTTTAAAAAATGTATTTGATATTGATATAACTTCTCCATTCCGAAGGAGAGCGTTAGTAAAATGTCGACTGACGTTTGGGTCGACCTTCCGACCCTGACCTTCTGTTTGATTTTATCAACTGCGATCATACCCTGACCTTCTGTTTGATTTTATCAAATGTCTGCGCTACAGAGGGTATTTGGAATTAGAATTCCACCGACTGTGAACTGTCAATCAGACGGACGGTTCACAGGGGAGGAAATGTTTCCAGAAAATTCTGCAGATACTGTTTGAATTTCAGGACCAGAAAACAGCGTTTCTATCCTATGAAGATATAGAATCAATAAAGTCGTTACAACAAAAATGATACAGTATTTTCAAAAACCAAGGACGTGGTCTCTCTCTTCAGATGCATCCATGTGGGTTCCTGTGTGTGTTTGTCATTTTTCTTGATCTGACAGCAGATATATCTGTGGCATTCAATTCTCACACAGCGAACAATCTCTTGAAAAATGTCTGGACTTTGCTCCAGGCCTGAAAGCCTCTTATCTGAAACACCACATGTGAAAAAACCCGTCCTACACACT